CTTTTGTATGTTGTAGATTTGGGCAGCCAAAGAATGGCCTTAGTAAAAAAAAAGATTTCCATTTCATCATAAACTGACTCGTCTGGTGACATGTACTCCGGACTCAGTATGCGCTGCAGCTTGACTTGAGCCGCTTATATTACTGTATGGTTTCTTCACCTTCAAGGCGATGAACCAGTTTCTGTTGGCAAAAAAGGCCATTGATCATTTAATACATCATAAGACAGACTAGCAAAACCTTGTCACATACATCCTGGAGGTATAAAAAGGTAAAAGAATACACAGGTGACAAAACGTGTCCCATGCCTTTATAACGTCTTCGGGATGAGGAGGCTCCGCCCGTAGTACTCCCTGCTATTTGCAAATTACATTTGTCAGAAAACAGCTTGGGCATCTTCAATGGACAAAAAGTAACATATAACTTGATCAAAATTTCCACCAGACATAAAATAAAGGAATTGACAAATCGACTATACCTAAATACAATGAAAATACTGAACACTTTTTTTAAACTGCTCCCTATTTTTGTCAAGACGAGATTGGCCCGGCACCAATGCCTATAATTTCACCGTTAGAAAGTATGAACAAGTTGCTACCCTACAAAGACAAGCCCCTAAAAGCCTTTCATCTATAAGGGGGCAGGTTAGTTAGAGACATTTTATAAGGTTTCTGGCAGCGACATATCAATAACCAAATAGGTACGATAACTGAACTTACCAAACGCTCGATGTGTTGGATCAAGTGTGCAGGGCCGCCGTGCAAGGGGGAGGGGGCGCCGAAGTTTGCTACCAACGTCACTATTCTGTGCGTTTGAATTGACATCACATCCCCCTCCTGTCCAAACACTCTCAATCCTGTCCAAACTCGACGGCCGATCATGGTAGACTAGTTATGTCATCATGGTCTCACGAAAAAAAGCGATACAAACGCCTGATTTCTCTCTAGTATTCCCCTGCTTCGAACGGTTTTCATTCTAACCGCCAACACGGTACGCATGCGTACGCTAGCTGGCCAATCAGAGGTATCATTTAGACTTTGCTTCTTTTCATTGCCTTCCTCAAGAAAGTTACATGTACGTGTTAGGTACCCGATTTATAAGGGATGCAGATTGTATAATATAACTCGGAAAGATAGTATTATTATTAATTACCCATGCTATATAAGTTTGGTAAATTCCAGATTTCGTGCAAGCGAGATCAGAAAAATTCCTCTTCTGGTATCTTTTTCGGATCTGCGGATTCGTAATCCATATGAGTTCATATGAATGCCAAGTGGGATCTGTTGGGATCTGTGGAAGCGAATCTGCATCTGGTACTAGTATCTTTTTCGGATCTGTGAAACTTGGAATCCATGCGAATCCATAGTAAGAGTCAGTCAAGTGCGAAATTCACAAAAATCTCTGCGTTTCTGGTATCTCTTTCGGTTCTGTGGAAGATAGATCCGCAAAATCACGCTTCTGGTATCGTTTTCGGATCTGCAGAACCGTGATCCGTAAAATCCCGCTTCCGGTATCTTTTTTCGGATCTACGGAACCGTGATCCGTAAAATTCTGCTTTTGGTACCTTTATCGGATCTGTGGGACCAGGAATCCATAGCAGTACGAAATTCTGAGATCCGCAAAATCCCGTTGCTGCAAATTACTTTCGGATTTGTGGAAGCTTCTGGTATCTTGTTCAGATCTGCGGAAGTGAGATCCGCGAAATCCCGCTTCTGTTATTTTGTTCGGAATCTGCGGGAGAGTCCAAAGCAGCAGTGCCCTGTGGGTTATTTTAGAATCCGTTAAATGCCCGGCAGGCGGATTTGCTGAAATCTGTGGTAGTACATATGACGCCATGATGGGTATTTATTGTATCTGTCAGGATCCGAGGCAACTCCAGACTCCCCCAAAAACCGAACTTATAACATATCCGAGAAAGAAGGTTCCTTGCGAATATCAAATTTGTATCTGTGATTTCTTAAAGATCCGGACGTATACGGTGCCGGAATTGTCGGATCTGCAGTGCTACTTCGTATTCGAGCAAGAATTGCGGATTTCTCCGGATTTGCCACGTATCCGTCATGATGCACGATTTCGGATCTTCAGGATTTGCTATAATCCGAGGCCATTTCGTGCAGTGATAATCAATTTGAAATCAACATGGTCTGACTGTTGAAGCTGGTTGAGTTCTATGACTTGAGTACTTTTCTGAGGAGCGTTTAGGTTGTATGTACAGAATGATGAAAACATCAAGGTTCTATATACGTGGTTGGTTTGCTGATTCGTTTTCATATCAGTATGATAGAGTGCAGTTGCATAACCCCGCTTATACCATTCCTCGCGCGACTGCACTACGAGTGACATTACTTCACATTTGCTGACGTGAGGCCAACACACTTGCCACGGTCCTCATTTTTTTTCACAACAGGTCCTTGCGACACCTCGCCCACAAGTGCAAGGAGAGGCATAGGCCATGTAGATCTTATTATATGGATGACATCCTCTGGGAACCCAAAATTGATGAGAGCATGCAAATAACAAAAGTTTGTCCGAGAAAAAGTTGACTTCACTATAAATCTTACGTGGTTGAACAAATGACTGAACACACAGAGTACGATATGGCAAATAATAGACTCTTCGTTTTCATTTCTTCACATTTTCCTCTTTTCATTATGTTTACCTAAGGAAAAAATATTATGTTCGCTCAGTTTCTTCTTCTTCTCCAAACAGTGACCAATGACCTGACCAATGACAAGATTTGTTGACATCTGTCACCATGTTGCATTTTCATGGTCTGCTCTGCTCTTGTCACCATAAACTAGTAGTACATGTATGTGAATGTGCTTGAGTAAGAATTAACAGAGCAGACCGTGTCCGAAAGTAAACATTATGCATTTGCTTTGTAAATGTTATTTCTCTAGTTTTGGAAGTGATTTTGGCATTGTACGACATTAGTATCGTTTTCAACTATTTTTCGCAATTAACGGCATATATTTTCTCATTTTGCAGCTGCTTTGTAAGCTTTACAGTGAACACTTTTTGGCCGAAAATTCATGCCCGTGGAGATGTCATCCATATAATTATGTAGCACATATTGTATGTAAACTTTGTTAAGCATAAAATACGCCCTACGCTCTGCATAAGAAGCATGGGAGACCTTTCCTTTTTCCTTTCCTTTTGTTAAGCCCGGATGTGCTATATCTGATGTATTTGCATTCGGTACTGGATTTTGTGAGTTTGTTTGTGTTTTAGATAAGATAACGACATTGAAAATGTGCATATCTACCGCCACATCTACTTCTACAATGTCGGTCGGTAGAGCATATCTACAGTACCGGCACTCATGTGGAGCTCACACTTCTGTATCTTGTTAAATATTATCTCAATTTATGGGTACTTTTGCTTACTGCGTTTATGTGTCTAATAACAACCGCGACGGGGGCCGACATCGTCTACCAGATACCTTTGACCTAGTGTTTGAGCCACACTTCAGAGAAGCCACGTGACACGTCAGTCTACTGAGAAAGACCAGAGTGAATTGTCGAAAGCTTTAGTTGATAACATTTACCTTTTGTGTTGGAAAAAATGTTTTATCTTTAAATATGTGCACTTCGTCAGGACCGGATGTGTTGTACGTGATGTATTTGCATTCGTTACTGGATTTTCTTAAGTTACTGCTGCACTATCGGTGTTTTAGATAAGACAGCAACATACACATTGAAAACTTGCATATCTACCGCTACATCTGCTTCTACAAGGTCGGTCGCTAGAGCATATCTACAGTACCGGCACTCATGTGGAGCTCTACACTTCTGTATCTTGTTGAATACCTTCTCACTTTATGGGCACATTTGCATACTGCGTTTATGTGTCTAATGACAAGCGCGACGGGGGCCGACATCATCTACCAGATACCTTTGACCTAGTGTTGACGCCACACTTCGGAGAAGCCACGTGACACGTCACTGGGTCAATCTACTGAGGAAGACCAGAGTGACTGGTTGAAAGCTCTAGGTGAGAACATTTCTATTTTCGTTTTATCTTTAAATATGTGAACTTTGTCAAGGCTGGATGTGTTGTACGTGATGTATATGCATTCGTTACTAGATGTTCTTAAGTTACTGCTGCACTATCGGTGTTTAAGATAAGATAACAACATACACGTTGAAAACGTGCATATCTACCTCTACATCTGCTTCTACAAGGTCGGTCGCTAGAGCATATCTACAGTACCAGCACTCATGCGGAGCTCTACACTTCTGTATCTTGTTGAATACCATCTCACTTTATGGGCACTTTTGCATACTGCTTTTATGTGTCTAATGACGACTGGTGAATGTCAAAGAGATATGAAGAAACTCCAAGATGAGGGCTTAAACTAGCTGGGTAATTACATCAGCTCTTGGGTGCAAATAGTGATGTATGTAGAATGAGGCAAAACAAGTTAAGTGTGACACAATTATTATGTTCACCTTCGCAGAAGGAAAGCATATTGTTTTTGCTCTGTTTCGTCTTCCTCTTTTTCTTCCCCAAGCAAATAAGGTCAATGACCTGGACCAGACCTCTGTCACCGTGGTAACTGGTGCTGTAGCAGACACCGTATCCTATGGTGTTGTGTAGCATGGCAGAGCTGGAGGGGCTACTCACCATATATTATGAATGTGTATGAGTAACAAACAAAACAGTAGTTCGTTAGGCAAGGCCATGTAAAGGTAAACATTATGCATTTGCTTTGTTACTGAACAGTTTTCACAAAAGTCAAAATGGCTGAAGAGGCACATTTGCACTATTTATAAGTTAAAATGAGTTACATTTGATATCATTCAACTACATTTATCTGAACCAAGAATCAGTGCCTTTGTGGTATTTTTGGTTCTTACATTTTGTTGTAGCATGACTGAACGTGTCTTTGATTTTTATGTAGTTTATTGTTTGCCATGTTTCTCTTTACTTGAATTATTTCATATTTCTTGAATAAAAATATAGAAAAAACAATAGAAATAATAGTGTCAGCCGTACTCACCCGTTGTAGATATCGATGTTCGTGAGCGAGTTTCTGACGAACTCCAGAGACTGTTCCAGTGCGTACGTGTCTCTAGCGCACGTGTCTAGTATGTGTGCTCCCAGTGTGATGCCTGGTAACAGAGACGTATTGCTGCAGAAACAAAGACAGTGTTTTAGTTCTTTGTTATACCATTTTTACCTCCATGAAATATGGCGCGTCTGTGTGTGTGTGTGTTCGTGTGTGTGTGTGTAGCCTATCCCTCTGGAATAGGCTACAGGAATAGGTTCAGTTGACCATATCTATTACAGCCTGACCTATTTCAGGCCAAAGGTGCTACTGTGTGTTTGAAAACAAAAAGCTGTGTTATTTTGTTCTGTACTGTAGTGTAGTGTACTGTGTAAAAACATTTACAAAAACTCATATATTTCATGGAGGTATGAGATCTCCGAATTCTTGTTTTATTCAGGGAAGACAATCAATACCTACAACAGATGACAGGAAAAACAGTTCGCATGTTAAATGCTTCCTCAACACAAAGGCTTCTATAGGCAGCCCACGGCATATCAGATTATGTACTTTTCTAGGGGCCCTGATTTATAAGTAACTTTTGTCATTTTCCTAGTTCATTTCGCCACTAAAGCTGGGTCGTATCGAGTACTGTTCTGTCTGTGAAAGCGTTTCAAGCTGTGATTGCGACCTCAATAACCCGCAGAAGGCATTGCCACAACCCATTCATGCCAGCACTGTAGGTACTTGTTTGACAACAACCCAGTTTCTACAGTTTCTTCCAGTGATGCTGTACACAATTTGTTTTGTTGCCGCCACTTGTACATTATTAAATAAGAATATTTGACTACACATCAAAACACATAAATAAGATAAAAAATTTGATCCTTGTGTACTCTTTGTTTTGAAATAAATTTTAACATCGTTATATGATTACTACGAACAAACAAAAAAACAAATCAACTTACATGATAATAATATAAGTGATGTTGTAAACAACTTATTTTGTTGCCGCCACTTGTATATTATGAAAAAAAGAATATTTGACTAGACATTAAAACTTAGGAATAACTAAGATTGAAAAGTTGATCCTTGTGTACTCTTTGTCTTGAAATAAATGTCAACATCGTACTATGATTACTACCAACACAAATCAACTTGATACATGATAATTATCTTTATAGTATGTGGGTCTCAGATTCGCAACCTGTTATCCACCTTTAACAAATCCACGCGAAGGCCACCGTGCCAACTGTGACCCTCACTCAGGTGTAGGGACTGACACGATCATCCTACTCGGAAAATCTGTATCTGTATATCTGTACATGAATCTGTATCTGTGCATGAATATATATCTGTACATGAATCTGTGTCTGATTGCAAATAAAGATATCGAGTGATTGCCATAGAGAGATGTTTCCATTGAGCAGAAGGTGCTGAAGTTCTTTCAGTTTTTTTCTCCCCTTTTGGTTATATTGATTGCACTCCGATTTGTGGCTTTGTAGCGTGTGTCACTGTAGACAATCAAACTCACATTACAGTGATTGCCACATCCATTTTACATCATGGTAACATGAGTGTGCCATGGAGCCATACCGAACAACTGAAGCAAACGAGCCATTCAGTCGTCACCTGCTGTCAGAGATGTACAACAGATTAGTGCTGCATATTTCATATGCCAGTACATATGCCAGCTTGCAATCTGTTTAAAAAATATTAATTTCTTAACCAAGAACTCATGTATATGGACCACTATCTGTAGATGCACTGACTGTTAAACTATATAACGATGTCTGTTTTAAATTCTTTATGGATATCATTTACGTTGTTAGTTACGCTTTCTTTCATTTGTAATCGTTTACATATATTTAATGATCTGAATTTTAGCTTAGTATTATGTAGGTCACTTTAGTTATTAGTTACAGTTTTGTTACATTTGTAATTTTTTCTATGTTTTTATCACTTGCATATTTTTGTTATTACTTAGGCATTAGTTACATTTGTTTCATTTGTAATTGTTTCCATATTCTTATTATTTTTATATTTTAATCATTTGCCTAGAGTGGTCAGTCTTTGAGTATATTGTTCCTGTTGCCAGTTCCTCTCAGATTATTCTGTAAGCTTAATAAATAAATAAATATGGATTAAAAGGGTAGTTCGTAAGTTGCACGGTCATATATTGTCTAGTTGGACCAATATGGTAAGTCGGTGGCAAGATTCCAGCTATATGAGCCACACTATGCCTCCAAGACAATTTATGATAGAACCACGATTGCTGTGTATTAAATCACGCATATTATATTAATCGACATTTGCCAGCAATGCAATATTACCATCTGAATTTATGGATAGACCAAAGTGTGAAACGTTGAGATATGAAGACATACATGTATGTGTATTTTCTTGTCATGCTTATAGCAATGTTTGTCAATTTATTATGTTTACCTTCGCAAAAGGAAATCATATTATTTTTGCTCTGTTTCTTTTTCTGATCCAAAAAACACAAGGTCAATACCCTGGACCAGACGGCTGTAACCATGGTAACTGGTGATGTAGCAGACATCGTGTGGTGTTGGATTACATTAGAGTTAGACTGGTGTCACCATATATGGGAATGTCTTTCAGTAAGGATAAACTGAGCAGTAGTTTGTTAGGCTACACTATGTGAAGGTAAGCCTTATGCATTTGCTTTGAAAATGTTACCTTTCTTGTTGCTGTTTTTATTTTTTTTATGCGGCCGAACCAGCACAAATAATGCTGCTGCCAATGAATATACAAGCTTCGAGGAGAAACACAATATTTATGTGGAGAATGAATTTATTATATTCACCGATATTCATGCCCATGGGGCTAAATGCATACATCAGAATGTGATGTTACACGTACATCATTCTGAGTAACATGATACATAAGATACAAGGATAACAGAATAACAGAATGACGTAACGTCTTAACAACTACTAGTCAGAGAATAAACTAAACTAAGCCTTAAGGATTTCTTCTCTCTTTTTAAAGCAATTGGAGATAAACTCACAAAGTTTTTCTATTGTATGGTCATTACTGGTGGACATGAGATGACTGAATACCTCTTTCTTTGTTCTACATTTATACAGTTTGTCTAAGTGGATTGTTCTAAATAGTGTGTCACGTTCAATATCAAACAATTTACAATCAAGTACAAAAGATGAGAAAGATAAAAAGACATACATTATTGATGAGTGTCTGAAATATCCTGCTAGTTTACATCAGATACATAATACACATTACATAGTTAAACAATAGCTTTGTTTTTATATTAAAAGTAATAACAACATTTAACAACTGAGCTACAATGTATTAATAAAAGATTTCAGACATGACACATAGTGTTTGAACCATGTTGTATTAACCATGATTTTATCTTACGTTTACTCCAGGCCAAATGGTCTCTTAGCCTTGATGTTTCATTGCTCAAACTGGAATGTGTAAATCCCTTACAGTGAAAAGCAAAAACACCATTAAACAACAGCTATCATATATCAATAAAAGATATTCAGGACATGGAACGTTGCGTTTAAACTATGTCTATTAAACCCTGATTTTACTTCAAAGTTAATGGTACTGTATGTTAGTTTAAATGTTTCATCGCTCAAATTGGCTTGTGTATATCACTTGATGTAAAAAGCAATATAACGACATTAAACAACAACTATTAATTTTAAAAAATTAAGACATGGAACATTTTTACTGTTTAAGCCATGTTTAAACCATGGTTTTACTTCAGGCCCAATGGTATGTTAGTTTTGATGTTTCATTGCCCAAACTGGTGGATTTCACTTGTTGACGTTCCCTGAGCCTGTAAGATGATACATGTTTCAATTACTGTCTTGACGCATCTCATCAATTTGTACGGCGTAAGATAGATGGAGACCTTGACTTCACCATTTTAATTGTATTAGAGGGACTTCCAAAGGTGGCAGACCGGTTTTTCAGAACATGACATAGATAGATGTTGCGAAGCGCCTGGTATTTCTATATCACGTAGGGGATGAGTACAACCGCTTGATAGGTATTAGCTTGGGAATTTGACATGTAAGAAAGAACCCTGCTACAATACGTAAAAATGTATACTGTGTCGTGGAAGCTTCATTTTTAATTGTCATCAAAATAGGTGTATCTTCATGTTTACCTTCACAGAAGGAAACATTGTTTTTCTCCGTGTCTTCATTCTTTCGTTACAAATAAATAGTTAATGACCTGAACCAGACGGCTGTCACCATGGTAACTGTGATGTTAGAATACATTATGTAGCAAGTGGCAGGACTGAGTTGGAGGGGCTGGTCTCCATATATGCATAAATGAGTTTGAGTAAGAATAAACAGAGCAGTTGTTTGTTTGTTTGTTTGTTTATTGAGATCTCCATTAGTATGGTAAACTCCATACTATTCTTCCTGGAGTCCAGCAACATAAATATGCTAGACCATATGGAGGTAATCATTGTGCATTTGCTTCGCAAATTTAGCCTTCTTGTTTGTTTGTTTGTTTTTTTTCACTAACAATGCCTGGAATTCCTCTTCTTCGGCTCCTTTTACTAGACTTGTCAAATGTACTTTTTTATTGACACACATTTAATGAGCCGTGCAATTAGGCCAGAACCTCGCGAACTGGAAAAAACGGTGTAGCAGAAACTGGGTCGTTTTCAAACTAGTACCTACAGTGCTGGCATAAATGAGTTGTGGAAATGCCTTGTGCAGGTTATTGAGTTGTTTATTGCAAGTTCATGCCCGAGGGCTAATTGCAAACAGACGTTGACAAAAACAATGACTACAGAATGTAGTGATATGAAACTATATGCTAACATGAAGTTTTGCGTATACGATCTACTTATTCAATCTACTATCTCTACTTATATCTAATAACGTAGGTATACAGGATAAACAGTGAATAACTGCTCTTCTATTCTATTCTATTCTATTCTATTCTATTCTATTCTACTATTCTTACCATGCTATTAGGGGGTTTGACTTCTTCTCAGGAGGCAGTGGGAGATGAATTGTCCAACTCTTTGAAAAATAAATGGGTTGGGAGACTTTATTAAGGTCGCAATCACAGCTTGAAATGCTTTCACAGACAGAACACTCGATACGACCCAGCTTTACTGGCGAAATGAACTAGGAAAATGACAAAAGTTACTTATAAATCAGGGCCCCTAGAACTGTACATAATCTGATATGCCATGGGCGGCCTATAGAAGCCTTTGTGTTGAGGAAACATTTAACCTGCCAACTGTCAATACACAAGATCTAAACATCGATTGTAATTGTTTTCTTCCACCCCTGTGGGTACAAATGGACAAAGCCTGAGTAATCTTTAACAAAACATGTTCAATAAAGGCTCTGTTTGGTATTCTAGTCGTTGATATACAGGCAGAAGCAGAGAGGGTTACATTGTGCTAGCACTGGCTCTAATCGTGTATATTCTTAAAGGAATCCAGCACAGCAAAATTGGATTTTCAAAGTCAATTTTTGGGTCATTCTTTTAATGTAGTAAGTTGGATCAAGCCTATGGCATAGCATATTGATATTTCTGAGGCAAAAAAATGCGATGTCACTGGTGGAAAAACTGTTGCTTGATTTGTATCGTAGGCTGGTCCTAGCTATTTATGGGTGGTATTTATGGGTGGTACCAAAAGAATGAAGAGACGATGCAACTGATTTCGGGACTATTATAGTATAAAAGTATGTAAATGTGTTAAGGAATGGCAGTACATGTCAATATGAGAGAGATTTTCTAATCCAGAATATTTTTTTTGCTTTGTTGCCCTGAAATTGCATTTGACACTCAGCACCTACGCAAGAAGCCATCTCATTAGAAGAATACGCTCAATTCACAATCAGAAGTCTTTTAGTTCGTTAGACAGAGCTACATTTGCTTGCTTACATGCACGGCGCATACCAACCGCAAGCAAAGTGCGTATGACTATATGAGGTCAATCTATAGTTACTGCTCCCAGATTCAGAAACACAGATGGGAATAAGATAAACAGTTGAGCTGTCTTTGCAGGCATCAGTTTTGTCCGAGGGATTTTATGACAAAACTGGGGCATGTTCTCTCATGTAAAATGCAACAGCCACGGTGGGTTGTCATTCATTGCACTACAGGGCAGGGGTATTATATTGTAACATTCACACATGCTGTAAGTCTTCAAGATACATGTATGTAATGTGATTTTGTGACGTCCTGATACAGCCACGCTTTTTATTATTATTATTATTATTATTATTATTTATTATTATTTATTATTATTATTATTATTATTATTATTATTATTATTATTATTATTATTATTATTATTATTATTATTATTATTATTATTATTATTATTATTATTATTATTATTATTATTATTATTATTATTTAGCATTAACAGCACATGCTATGGGTGTTCGAGGAAATGTTCGTCTTGCCGAAAGAAGACAAGCATATCAGTATGTTCTTAAAATTTATGTGGCTCCAATATAAGAAAAATGACAACATGATGCCTGGCATATATAATAGTGTATTTAAGATCGATTAGGTTAAAGAAAGAGGCCGTACTTACCTATTAATCTCCTTAATGGCGTAAAGCATTGCCTCCAGTCTCTGAATCCCGCGATCGGAGTTTAGTTTACCGCAAGGCTTGCCTCCCTGTCCCTTGTTGTGCACGGGAAACAGCCCGCCGATGGTCAGGTCTCCCTTCAGCTCGGCATACGTGCTATCCGGGTCGCCTTTACCGGGAAGGATCGCCCGGTGGTAGCGGAAGAGTCCCACGGACCCCGCGCCGAGAACCGAGAGCAAGAACACGATCAGTACGAGCTGCCTCTCCATCGTAACACCTTCGAGAACCTACCGGGAACAGGCGAACGTGTCGAAGGCGTGTTTCCCCTCTGTTCACCGGGGGTGGTACGAGTGATCCCTCACAGAAATACCTAATTAATCCGCCTGGTGGAATAGCACGGAGTCGGGACTAACAGTCACGTTTTTGGCAGCTGCCGCCCAGATCCGATCATTCAGACGGAGGTTCTGATCAGAAAAGGTCAATAATTATGTCTACTCGGAGAAACCTGTCTCTCCGCAATGGCTCTGATAGAGCCTACTGAACTGAGTCTACCGGCAGTAGGAAGTGAGATACACGCATAGATGAGGACAGATGACACGGTGCGTAGATAAAAATAGCCTATTTTACGTTCATATCAAAAATTCGTACGGTAGCGACTGCAGCAACACGCATAGCCTTTCTCCCAGTGTGAACATTAATCACATCGGCTGTGACGGTCGGTAACTTGCTAACTTGTCAGTTGTGAATATTGGAGGCTAAAACTTCAGTGTCGTCTTGAAGTTCAAGTAGCGGCTTCCTGTAGATCTGTTTATCTCAACATTTCCTGAATTTTACGAACTCTCAATCCAGTTGTAAACATGGCTGGCTAAAACTCCAATGTCATCTTGAAGTCCAAGTAGCGGCTTCTTGTAGATCTGTTTTTCTCAGGATTTCCTAAATTTTACAATTTCTCAGTTCCTGGTGGTTGTTGTTTTAGGCAGATGGTCTTGAAGGCGAATGTCGTATTGAAGTCCAAGAAGCGGCGTTTTGTAGAGCTGTTCATCCCAACATTTCTCGAATTTTACGTGCTCATAAATCCAAATGTCGGTAGCTGTTTTCGGCAGATGGGCTTGAATGCGAATGTCGTCTTGAAGTCCGGCAGTAGCGGCTTCTTGCTTCTGTTCATTTCAACATTTACTGAATTTTACCAGCTCGCAAATCCAAATGCCGGTTGATGTTCTATCCAAATGGGCTTGAATGAGAATGTCGTATTGAAGTACAAGTAGTGGCGTTTTGTAGATCAGTTTATCCCAAAATTTCTTGGATTTTACAAAAGCTTTCAGTCCATGGCGTTTTCAAAGGCGAATGTCGTCTTGCTCAGGAATCTACAAGCTCTCAAATCTATGGCGGTTGTTGATTTCGGTAGATGACCGGGAAGTCGATTCAGAACCCCACGGCGTTCCCCTCGCATTGCACCGTCTGCTTTCCCTCAAGAGGTTACCGCTACAGTCGCTCCGTCCGCAACTGATCACAATCTGTAGATACAGATGAAAGGGACATTAAGGTCTTGCGCTGCTGTATTACAGCCTCTAAGTAAATTTGGTCTGTGCCAAAGATAAGACGTGCAGAATTATCAATATTAGGCCACACCAAGTCATTTTTATGGATGACGTCTTCTGGAGAGACCCTAAATCTAACCCTAGAGCGAGAAAAAAAAGAAGGGCAAAAAAAAGATGCCTAGATTTGAAATATACGAAGGGATGACAAATGTTAGACATAAATTGAATGAGAGAACACAGACTGACAACCAACAAATCTTTTTTTTTTCGTCATAAAAACTGCAATAAGATCAATGGATCAGCAGTTGTTGTTCTCTCCTGTTTCTTGTGCCCATATTTCGCGTTACGGGTTTTACGTTAATCTTGCGATTTGCGGCACTCTCGTGACTCTTTGGTCATAGTTACAGGAAGCGGAATTTCGTAGTTTTTTTCGGTGAACAGGACAATATCAATGCGCGCGCGGACGTCATCCATTAAAATTACTTGTTGTGGCCTTAGGAAACGGATGTGGAGTGGGTTAAGATTAGGGTAGAGTGGGGCGAACTAATCTTGCTTATCTTATACAGTCCCAACCGTGGCGTATTTGACATCATTGTCTCGTCAAAATTTTAGCCATACACTTGGTCACATCGTTCTTTACGGGGATAGCTCATTGTTTGGATCGTTATCATGGGGATAGATTTATGTTATGGCTTAACCTAAAAGCGACATTTGTATCAAAGATTCGATCTATGACCCTACAATAGTATGTCACTTGGTGTGGGCGGGGCTAACTCTGAACCTTCTAACTATGTCAGGCCATGTTGATTTGATTATATGGATGACATCCGCAGGTGCATGGATTTTTTATCCATTTCCAAAAAAAATCGTGCAAAGCAGCTGCAAAATGAGCAAATGTATGCCGAGATATCGGAAAACAATACTAATGTCGTAGAATGCCAAAATCAATGCCAAAGTGAAGAAAATGAAGAGTCAATCATTAGACATACTTTGGTTTTCACTGTAAATCGTACAAAGCAGTTGCGAAATGAGAAAACATATGATGTAAATTGCAAAGTAAATATTGGAAAACGATACTAATGTCGTAGAATGCCAAAATCAATTCCAAAATGAAAAGAGGAAAATGTGAAGAAAATGAAGAGTCTATTACTAGTATCCACACTCTGTGTGTTTAGTCATTTGTTTAACCTTCATGGCCACGTAGATTTCATAATGAATGCACCTTTTTGCCAAACTTTTTTTAATTCGCACGCTCGCATCAGTTTTGGGGTTCGAAGAGGATGTCATCCATATAATCCAATCATCAACATGGCCTTACCACGAAGCTGCAACCAGAACATTATACAAAATAAACCTAATGCTATCCTTTATGGCACTGGATACTCGTATCTAAGCCTATCTGTAGGAGATGTGTGTAACGGCGTTACATGTTCCAATTTGGACCTTGACCTTCCTCAAGACCAAAAGCTGGGGCCATCTCCAATACTACTTAGGCCACAGCAAGTAAATTTTATTGATGACATCCTCTGCAGATTCCAAATCTAATGCGAGCGGGCAAAAACAAGGTTCCTACAATTTAAACTTTTGACTCAATCATTGTACAACTGGTTTTGATTCAGTAGGAACATCACACATACACAGTCACCATCACATAAAACTGCATCAAAGTAAGAAACAAAACATTAAATCAGAGCCTTTTCTTCTCTTCATAGTTATCTACCAACCACATTCCGGCATGGCAACAGACATCTTTGCCCATTTTCGGAATCTTGAACACTGTCAGAAGGCAACAAAATTTCTTTTTTTTTTCAAAATCAGGTGAAAAGTAATTTGCGCGCTGATGTTATCCATAAAAATTACTTGTTGTGGCCTTATCGATGGTTCTTCCCATGCACACAGACCGACGTCCCATCCTAGTACGTTTGTTCGCTAATCAGTCTGTTTCCTCCTTACAATTCTCTACACGAATTCCGTGTACAAAACCGCTGGAGGTCTGACTGAAGTCACACGAGGACGAAGTCAATACATTAGAGCTAAGCGTCAATGTTCCCCAAGGCAGCGTTAACTAAGTTATCCTCACTCCTCCTGCCACCCGGGCTTGGGTATAGTTCTTTGTGCATTGCTTGTTGTGATGTGCTAATGTCACGGAAATGAAAAAAATTATCACTAGGTAGGTTTAAACAATGTTTTTCAACAAAAATTGATTGGAATGTGATTGTAATTTACTCCAAGTTTTCAACATATTTGTGTGATTATCTCACACTTTAATATGGCATTAGTTTTGCTAGTGTAACGGAAATGAAAAGAAACCTACAATGGGTTGCACAAAGTTGCCCATGGCATTTTCCTGGAACGTAATGGGTGCACTGGTATAATTGAGTAAGGACGATGAGTGCGATAACCATTAGTTTGTTTGTTTATTATATTCAAACAAACAAACTAATGGTTAACGCACTCATCGTCCTTACTCAATTACACCAGTGCACCCATTGCGTTCCAGGAAAATGCCATGGGCAACTTTGTTGAGCCAAAGCGACCCCCAATACTTCCTCCGTTGACCGCTTATGCTTTGAGTTTGAATGAAAAAAAGAATTGTTCAAACAAACAAACTAATGGTTATCGCGCTCTTCGTCCGTTCTCAATAATACCAGTGCAACCGTTGCGTTCCAGGAAAATGCCATGGACAACTTTGTTGAGCCAAACCGACCCAAAAACCTTCCTCCGTTGACCTCTTATGCTTTGCGTTTTCATGTATAAAGAATGTTTCAAACTAACAAACTCAACTAATAGCTATTGCACTCTTCGTCCTTTCTGAATTATACCCGCGCACCCGTTGCGTTCCAGGAAAATGCCATGGACAACTTTGTTGAGCCAAAGCGACCCCCAAAACTTTCTCCGATGACCTCTTATGCTTTGAGTTTTCCTGAATAAAGAATGGTTCAAACAAACAAATGGTTATCGCGCTCTTCGTTCTTTCTCAATTACACCAGTGCACCCGTTGCGTTCCAGGAAAATGCCATGGACAACTTTGTTGAGCCAAAGCGACCCCAAAAACTTTCTCCGTTGACCTCTAATGCCATTTAAACTTTTCTGAATAAAAATGGTTCAAACTAATAGCTGTAGCACTCTTCGTCCTTTCTGAATTATACCAGTGCACCCGTTGCGTTCCAGGAAAATGCTATGGTCATGACGAATGCGGTATCATGAGGCGTACTATTCCCAATAACTGCAATCAAGAGCTCTGCTTGAAAATCCCTGCGAAATTGTAGCGTCAATCCGTCATGTTTTCAGTTGACATATAAATTGCAGGATGCTGCTATAAGGTTTGAGTGTCTCCATTGCGCCAGAAACGTCGGGGGGAAATAGCTGTCCGACTAAACCCTTCATTTTCTCTGAATGCTGCCTGCCTGGTGGTTTTGATTCAGTGCTCTTACAATGTGTAGAATTAGTGTGGCAGAACAATGCACTGTTATAGCTGATGATGAGACGTAGGGGAGAAACATGACTACATGTAGTGGTGGAAAGGTAATCAATACTAGCTTGTATGCCAAACCAAAAGTACTTTGTGCCATAGATATGTATATTTGTAATTCCTAATTTTTTCCTTGGACTGTTATGTTCACTGTTTTCACTGTCACTTCTGTACCGAAAACTTGTCATTACAGTTAACATATAATTCCTGGACATTCCTTTTCCTGCACCTGTCGCCACCGTGAATATATAGTTCCGTGAACATGTCTTTTTTTCTCAGACCGTGAACTTTTGCTACCGTGAACATAAAGTGACTTAGTATATCAGGCCATGTTGATTTGATGATATGGATGACATAGGCGCGCGCATGAATTTTCATCCGTTTCCAAAAAATAAGTTTTCGAATATGATGTAAATCGTAAAAGCAGCTGCAAAATCTGCAAATGTTTGCCGTATATTGCAACAAAAAAATATTGGAAAATTGGTAATGACATACAATTACATGGTCAATGAGACAAATCCAAAAACAAAGATCCAGTACAATACATTTACAACATATTTATTTCATGGAGGTATGAGATCTCCGAATTCTTGTTTCAAAAGAGTCAAGTCGAGACATGAATGTTGAACTTTTAAAAAATCAACTACAATATCCCCGCCATTTTATACATCATTGATAGGTGTATATAAAGACATAATATTTTTACGTCCTAAATCTAATATTGGCATGCTTGAATGATCTAATGTTACCACCTTCCCCGACGTACACAGCTTAATTGTGCCGCTTAAGTGAACACCTAAGTAATATACAC